ATAAATAAGAAATCAATTGAACAATAAAAGAGCTGAAGAAACAGAAAATAAACACGCTTTCAAGCGATTTATACAGTTGAAGCCACTACGTCCGTTATTTACACCTGGCATTGTCTACTGGATAACTAATCACACAGTTGCTGACACTTAAATAGAGACAAAAACATGAATGCATTATCTACAACAGCTTTTGAATACTTACTTACAACGGTTTATTTATGATAGTGATAGTTAACGAAGACGTCAGTAAAACATAATTTTTTTAAACAAATTGTGCAGGTAGTTAAAACAGTTTCTTCACAGTTATGTACATCACATTCTTCGTCTGTTGTTGCCGATGGAAAACAGATTTCAAGGACATTTCGAAATTCTGATGGATCATCTTTCAATAAATCAGCTACATACCATGAATAACGTATCATTGGACGAAAGACTGATGCTGATAACTGATTGTGAACCAAAGATACAAGTTTAATAATATTATTACGCTCATACATATGTAAATCAATCTCATCCAGTGCTACTCGTTGGTGCACTTTTTTGATTAAGTTTTTAATCTGCCTATTGAAGAACGTGTCAAGTGGCTGAAGGTCAGAAGTAGTGTTCGACGGTATTTCCAATCGAACAATATCTTTTCCACTGCATATTGATTTTTCGTAGAGCTTTGGGTCATTTTGAGACGACCAGCTATCTGACAGTAAAAGACACTTATTTGGTATTGATGGTGATAAACAGTTGTCTCGCCAATATTCCACAAGAGAAGATGTTAGTTTACCACTGGATGAACACGTAATTATTACATTATCCGGCTTAAACAAACTTTTTTTTGACAGCCTCTCCCATTTTGTCATTCACCTCTTGCCAGCAAAGATACATTGGCCCAACCAACTCTCCAGCAAGTGAAATCGTAGGCAGTAAAGTGTAAGAATATGTTGTTGCATTCTTTGAAGCCACTGCACCAAAATTCTTTTTTCACCCGAAAACGATAAAGTTCTAGTTGAAAGAGTCTCTCTCTCGATCCCCGTTTGATCCGTGTTAATAATTTGTGAGGGAGAAGAATGACGTGATGATTTTAAAAATTTCTTAAGAAATTCTTTTTCTGACCTTTGAATCGTTTCATAATCCTCTACTTGATTATGTGTCACAATATTTGTTACTCGGCGAGAAACTATTCGATACTTACGTTTAAAATCCGACAATCAATGATCTGAAACATGAAAGTTTTCTACTTTCAATTCTTTTGAAGCTTTGAAACCCCAACGTTGAATATCAAGATCATGTACTGGAAGACACTTGTCTCTTGCATCTGAAAATTTCTTGAGAACTGACCGACCAATATTTTCAGTCTTCTGACGTTTCGTTCCTTGTTTAGAAATGTACCGTCGAAATCGGCAAATGCTACCACTTCCTGCATAAAGTTCAATGTGTAATTAGATAATGCTTCTTTGTCATTCTCTTTATTCTCCCACTCATCATCTGCCTCATCAAGACTATCAGCATTATGGGGTGTGGGTGGGTGTAGGTGTGGGGTGTGGGTGTGGGTGTGTGTGTGTGGGTGTGTGGGTGTGGGTGTGGGTGTGGGTGTGAGTATGATATGGGGTTCATTTTCACCCGCACGCCACCGGGACACCCACCCCACCGCCCACGCCCCCCCCCCATCCCCACCCTCCAACTACGATAACCGTAGGTGCGGTTACCGGTTCAAACCCATTGGCAAGAAAAACACCATTTTATAAGAAAATAACGATATTTCATAAAGGTTGACGAAAGTAAATCGAGGTCGGAGAATCCGAATCAGGAAGTCAGTTTTTGAAAATTTTGAATTCAATTTTTTCAACAAAGGAAAAGGTTTTTTAGAAAAGTAGTTATATATTATAAAGGCTCAAGAAAGTGAATCGAAATCGAAAAATCCAAATCCTAAATCAGATCCTTGAACTTTTCAATTTTCTCTTCCCAAGACTAAACCGCTTCTTGAAAATGGTCTTGTTTTCTAGAAAAATTTATTCCTGAAAAACATTACATGTGAAGACTAAAACTCAAAATTTTCAAAAGCTGACTTCAGATTCGGATTCTCCGACCTCGATTTACTTCCGTCAACATTTGTAGAATATTATTAGTTTTCTAAAAACCCTTTCCTTTGTCGAAAAAATGCAATTCAAAATTTTCAGAAACTGACTTCAAATTCGGATTCTCCGACTTCGAGTTACTTTCGTCAACCTTTCTGAAATATCGTTATTTTCTTATAAAATGGTGTTTTTCTTGCCAATGGGTTTGAACCGGTAACCGCAACTACGGTTATTGTAGTTGGACCGGTAACCGTACCTACGGTTATCATAGTTAGACCACTAATCGAACCTACGGTTATCGGTTTGGACCGGTGAAACGGTGCCGGTTAAGCGGTGAATGATCGTCACCGTTGCATCCCTATACTCCACTCGTACTCCACGCTACTCCAGCCGTACTCCAGTGATACTCCACTCTACTCCAGCCGTACTCCAGTGATACTCCACCCTACTCCAGTCGTACTCCGCTCTACTCCAAATTTTTTTTGGAGTAGATGGGGTATCGCCTTTTCCCCCTTGGACTTTCCCGACTTTTTCTTCTTGTGTTGTTGTTAATATTTTTTGCCTCGCTCCAATAATTGTCTGCGAATGTTTTTTTCGCCTCCATTTACTGCTGCTTGTCACGTCTTGCCTTTCCTGCCTTCTCCTAAACTATGTATCAGTAATTATTTTATCACTTACCTCTTCTGCCTCATGTTTAGATTGTTTTCCTTCATCATTTCCCCGTTTTCTGCTTTCTTTCTCTTCTCTCTCCCTAACTTTATATATAAGCAATGAACAATATAGAATAGAAAAACAATCACGGATAAAGCCAAAATTGCTGCAACTTCAATCATTTATTTGCATTTGAGAATACTGTCAAGTAATAATGATAGGGTGTGAAGCTTATCGATTCATTGTATTTGGAATCGCAATTGGAGTACTTTTTTTCGAAATCTTTATAATGCTACTATTACCAAATCGATTATTAGCAAACATAATTGCAAAACAATTTGCCATTACTCCATCTGATAGACAACAGTTTATAATGAACTTCTATGGTATTAAAATAGACTTTCTATCTTCGCGGCGTTTTCGTCTATCGCTCGTTATTCAATTGACAGCTATAGCATGGATCATTGCACTCTTATTCGTTTATGAATTGATCTTTCAGGTGCGACTGTTATCTGAACGCGACATTTGTCCGCTAAAAACAAGCGATTGCTTTATTTTCAAAAGCATGGTTTCAAATGCAAGACTTACTTGTGAGCCTGGTCAAGCATTAACGAATTTGACATCATTGAAAGTGATCTGTTACGTCTGGGCCTACCAGGAAGTAAATGCCGTAGCCATACTCAATCAAGTGGGTATCGACTGTCGTGTCTTCTCTCTTGTATGTCATAGCTTCAAATGGCTTTGTTGCTTGTCGCGTATATGGTTCAGCCTGGTTTTGATTATTCTATGTACCCTGGGTGGAATGACAGTGATCGTTTTGGAATTTACTGTAAAAATTTATATCTCAATGACTGGATTTTTACTGTTTATAGGATTTTGTGGTCTACTGATAAATGTTATTCAATTATTTCAGTTTACATATTATCATCAACGCAAAATTCAGTCATTGACGAACTCAATAAATTTGAATCATTTTTAAATAAAATTACAAATTTATGCGGATATCATCGAATTTGTATTTGAATTTCATGGAAACATTAAAGCTTTAACAATAGATAAAGATTATTATTATCATACTTGGTGAACTTTTCTAACATTAAAAACCAATCAAACATCACTAACCTATAGAAAAAAAAAATTAAAATCAGGATGGCTACTT